TGGGAAAGCACATACCTTTCATAAATTAGAATGGTGCGCCTCACACCTTCGCCATCATCAACCACAATACCCATTAAGTAGAAAATGTTGCTATGAAGATTAGCCGAACTGAATGTGAAGATTGTTAAATTTCTTTATCGATGTACCTTTTGTACGACCACTAGCATAAGGGAAAATATCGGCCTAGATCACAACATACATGGCTGGCACATTGAAGGTCTCAAACATAATTAGAGTTATTTTCTCTCCATTCGACCTTGGGGTCGATGTGATGCCTCTATGAGGAGGACACGGTGCTCTTCAGGTGCAACACGAAGTTCATTATAGAATGTGTGGTGCTAGATCTTCTCCATGTCATCCCAAATGCTAGCTATACCATGCTCAATGGGGCACTTCAAGGTATGAATATATCTTTTCGATTGGGACTCATCCCTAACATAAGCATCTTTCTACCCATCCCAACAATAACAACAGTTTGTTGTACAACAGTTATGTATAAGTAGATAGCCATGCGATCACATGGTACAAAATGCCAAAAAAAGTTCTGTTTCCTTGTTCAACTTCAACTCTTTATGGAATGCAATTCTACCACGTTTTCAACCAAATTTGGAGGCCAAATTTCAGGATGCTAAGCAATAGAGAGAGAACAATAGGCAGGAAATAAGAATTCATCATTCATACACACAAATGGAATACTATTTCTTTGAGTTTATGAGAAGAACAAGACACAAAATGATATTGTCAAGAAGAATTGAAGAGATTCTGGAATCAAAACTTTTCGTTTTTTTTCTTTCTACAACTGAATTTCGGGTGATGTTTCATTATACAAACATGCATTCTTGTAATTTTATATTGCTCGGCTAAATTTTTAGTCACTAAAACGTAGACAAGCCCTTTGATGAAATTTTAATATAAATTTCAAGAGTTTCAACTTTAATACTAGTTATTCTTGAATGATTGCAAAGTTTTTAATGCTTTCAAGTATGTAGCTAATAATTGAAATAATGTTTGACCTTGATTTTATTCGAGAGAAATAATAAGGAATATAACACATGATAATAATCATTAGGGTCCGATGAGGAATT